GAGCCACACAATTGCTGTCACCAGCATGCGCACCTGGCACTGCTGGAACGCACGGTCCACCACGATGGGGTGCGGGGCAGGCTGCTCGGCAGGCTTCAGTGGTGCTTGGTCGGCACGCACGGGGCAGCCCAAGATGAAGATGCTGATCACGGCACGGTCAAACCCCTCCAGGCCGTAGAGGAAGGGCACCTTGCCGTCTGCACCAGCTGCCAGCTCGGTGGGTGCGTTGTAGGCCAGCTGCAGGAAAGGCAGCAGAGCAGCAAAGGAGGACCAGGGGAGTGCGCGGCGTGAGGGAGGGAAGGAGGGATAGATGGAGAGGAGGGCAGCGCCACCTTGGCCGTGCCGCACCCCCCGTGCTTGCTGCGATGCATCCGGTTGCTGCCTGATGCAGAGCACTCTCCAGTTGGTCTGGCGGCATCATTGCACCCCTTATATCACTCACATGTGTGTACAGCTTCTCCACACCGCTGAAGCCAGTCGCCCGCTCGTGGTGCTCCTTGATCACTCGGGGCAGCTCCTCGAGCGGCACCACGGGGCACCACCGCCACTCTCCGCTGCGCTTGACGCAGCGGCACAGGATGTCCTGACCGCCAGCGCCCTTCAGCACCTGGAAAAACTGCAGCACCTTCTTGCTGTAGTTCTTGGCGCCGCCCTGCACTGCCGCCCCCCCTCCCGCACCCCGCCGCCGCCGGCCTGAGGGCGCCTGCTCGTCGCCCTGCTTGATCCGGATGATGCCCTCTACATCTGACTTAGTGAGAAACACATTCTTGGCGCCGTTTTGGCGCCGTTCTAAGGCATAAAGGATGACAGGTCGGATGATGCCCTCTACATCTGACTTAGTGAGAAACACATTCTTGGCGCCGTTTTGGCGCCGTTCTAAGGCATAAAGGATGACAGGTTGGTTCATAATTTTAAGTTTGCGTCAGCTGCGGGGTGCGGGAGGGGAGAAATAGAAGCCTTAGAGACTCTGAAAGGCGAAGGAAAGGGAGGGATCGCGGGAGAGAGCGTGCCTGATGAGCCAGACGAATCGGGGGAGGTGCCACATCAGCGGGCAACACATGCCAAAACACACCTCAGCACAGCTCAGTGACCCAGCTTCCCATTTCTCGTCTCGCTGCCAGAATCGAAAGGTCTGGCGATGGCTGTGAGCGCCACCGTACGACGGGGGGCGCCGCTGGGCGCACACCCTGCCCTAGCTACCGTGGCGGGCGGCGCCAGCGGGACTGGACTACACGCATAGGGACAGCGGCCCACCAGGACTGCCCCTGCGTCACCTGGAGGTGGAGGCTCTCTCCTCGTTACCGCTCATCTGCTTTCCACATAATATCAAACGCATGGAAGAGATGCAAATAATGGGTGCGTTGCTCGGCCCCTGCACGGCAGCGCTGGCAAAGACTGGCGGGGATGGCCTGGGTCCCAGGCCCTCCCAGCCCAGCAGGGCCAATCACTGTGCTCCACCCCTCTCATCCCAGTACCCGCTTGCAGGACGCCTTGAGCGCTGCCACCGCCTTTTGGAGGTCCGCCGCCGTGTGCTGCGCCGTCACCGCCACCCTGCAAGACGAGAGAAGGCCACTCAGCCAGAGCAGCTCACCAACGCGCCAGCAACCCGCCACGTCTCCCCTGCCCCGCAGCAGCAACGCACGCCGCCGCGCAGGCTCCGACAAACCCCGCGGCCCGGCACCGCAAGGCAGGCAGCTGGCGCCAGCCCAGCCCTGGCCTCACACCTGATGCTAGGGGGGAGGCGCCGCCGCTCGAGCCTGGAGTATCGCCCCAGCGCCAGCAGCACTCCCTCTCGAGCCAGGCAATCATCCACCACCCGCTGCAGCGCCGCATCCCCCGCCTCGTACTGCGGTGAACAGGGAGGGGCGGGCGTGGCGGCATGGTGGGTGCGCCGGCGGGCCGGGAGCGGTGCAGGGCTGGCAAACTGTCACGCCAGCTCCACACCACACTGCCGGCTCCTGCACACACCGGCGGGCTGCCGCTGCCCGCACAGGCGCACGGCAGCACGGCAGGGGGGGGTCCCTGCTCCCCTACGCAGAGGCGGTGGCCCCACCCCCGCCCCGGCCCACAAACAAGCTTCTGTTGCTGCAACTGCTGCTGCAACTGCTGCTACAGGCTGGCCGGCGCTGCTGCGGCTGCTGCTGCCGCACACCTCTGCCGCCTGCGGCTCCGGGCTGAGGGCCAGGTGGATGACGGGCGAGATGGCGGCAGCCTCCCCGCCCACCACCGACAGGTGAGGGATGCCGGCGGCCAGCTTCCTGCAGCAGCAAAGGTGAGGGCGGGCGGGGCAGGGAGGCGGCGGGCGGCAGGTGAGAGAGAGGGAGGGGAGGGGAGGGAGGCGGCAGGCAGCGGGCGAGAGGGGCGGGCGGTGAGGCAGGCTGGCAGGAGGAGGGCGGGCGGGCTCCAGCCGCGCGCTGAGCGGGCGGCACGTTTGTGGCGCGCCCACGGCGGACGCCGGGAGAGGCTGCTCCTGCCGCGGCAAGAGGCAGCGAGGCAGCCCCAGCCACACAGAGGCGGGCCGCAGCCAGCCAGCCAGCCAGGCAGCCCAGGCGCTCGCAGCCACACACCTGAACAGCCGCGCGCTTTCCTGAACCTTCGGTATCAGCTCGCCGCCCTGCTGCTCTAGGTGGTCCAGCGCACACACGCCCGCTGCAGGGGAGGCCCGCCAGCACGTCCACGAGAGGAGCGAGAGGCCGGCTGGTCGGCAGCGGCCGGGCCCAAGCCCAGGCTGGCGGCAGCGGCGGCGCGCCACGCCGGCGCGGAGGCGCCGCGCCACGCCTTTCGCTGCCCCTCCTCGTTGGCAGGCCCTGTGAACCAGCTGCCCCAGCTGAGCCGCCAACGCGCAGCTGTCAACCCGCAGTGTTCAACCAGCAGACCAGCAGGCAGCGCCCGGCGGCGGCGCCCCACACCTGTGGCCAGGAAGGGCGGCAGCGAGGCGGAGAAGCAGTAGCCCAGGCCCGACAGCCGCTGGTGGTCCACAATCTCGCGGTCGCCCGCGCAGAAGCCGCCGATGGAGGCCAGGGCGTTGCCTGCGGGGGGTTTAGGGAGGGAGGCGGGTGCCGGCAGGGGGGGAGGGGAGGCGAGGTATGGGTGGGAGGCGGCAGCGGGGGGAGCGGAGGCGAGGCGCGAGGGCGACGCGATGCAGTAGCCGCAGCGGCGGCGGCAGCGGCGGCAGCTGCGGCAGCATGTGGCGGCTCCTGTTCCCACAGGGCTGCGTCTGCGCCCCTGCTGGCGCCCAGAGTGGCCTGGCACACTGTGCTGCGGCTGGGCTGATGGCCAGCACAAGCAGGCAGGCAGGAAGGCAGGCAGGCAAGCGGAAGCAGCAAAGGCAGGCTGGCAGGCAGGCAGGCAAGCCGGCAGCAAAGCAGCAAGGCAGCAAGGCAGGCAGGCGGGCGAGGGTAGAAGGTCGCTGCGCCTCTCACCCATGGAACCCCCCACAATCTCAACCGCCTCGGGCGGCAGCCCAAAGTGCTCGGCAGCGCCGCGCCCCCGGGCCCCCAGCACCCCCACCGCCAGGCTCTCGTCCACGACCAGGCGGTACCGATACTTCTGCGGCGGTACAGCAGGCGGCACGGGCGGCGGTGCATGGCTCAGAGGGGTGGCAACCGTGCACAGCGCTGGCGCAACGCGCAGGCGAGCCGGCTGCAGGGCCACGCAACTCCAGCGGGGGCGCTCCCGCCACAGCCGCATGTGCTGGGATCCCCAGGCGCCGCGCCGGACCTCCCAGCCAAGCCTCCCCAGCTCCCCAGCTGCTGCCCCGCCACCACCACCCCGCCACCACCACCCACCCACACCCACACACACCTCCTTCAGCGGCATCAGCGCATTCAGGGGCGCCAGGTCGCCGCTGTTGGCATAGATGCCCTCCACCACAATGAAGCGCCGGTTGAGCGGCTTCCTGCGTGGGTGGGTGGGGAGGGCGGCGTTGTGGTTGGGCATGGCGCCGCGTGGCATGGTGTGGTGTGGTGTGGCATGAGGGAGTAGGCATGTGGGGCGGTGCGGCTGGGTGGCGGTGGCTGGGAGCGCAGCCAGCAGCGGCGACACCCGCCCCCGCGGCCCTCCCATCCCCCCCCAAGGCAGCCCACCGGGACGCATACAATCACCCCACCCGCCCGGCTGCCAGGCAGCCCTTGCGCCCCCGCGCGCGTGCTGCACCTGTGCCGCCGGTCGGCCTCCTCCTGCTGGCGCAGCAGGCGCTCCAGGTCGGCCATGTCGTTGTGCCTGAAGTACAGCACGCGGGCGCGGGACAGGTGGGCCCCGTTCTGGATGGCGTAGTTGACGCCCTGAGGTCACGGTTGGGTGGCGGGGGTGGGGGTGGGGGTGGACGGCGGGCAAAGGAGGTGGTGGGAGGTGGTCACAGCGAGGGCCAGGTGGGGCTGCGGGAGGCAGGCGCACACGGCAGCACCAGGGCACCGGGACGGGGCTGGCTCGCTGGGCCGTACAGCCTCAGCCCACCCGCCGCTGCGCCACCACAAAAAGGCTGCAAAGACGGGGGCCGCCGCCCTGGTTGCAGCCACAGCTGACCCCCACGCGCGCGCGCGCGCACACACAGACACACACACACCACCCCACCCCGCCGCACCTCGTCGCACAGTATGAGGTCCTTTTTGGAGGCAAAGGCGGGGAGGATGGAGGGCAGGGTGGCGAGGTCATACGAGTAGAGGATGGCCTCCTCGGTGCCCATGAAGCGGGCCAGGCGCTCCTGCGGGACACGGCAGCGGTACAGCGGCAGTACAGCGGCGTGGTGGGGCGGCGGCACAGCAGCATGCAAGGGCTGTGGAATGGATACGCAGACCAGCGGGTGCCCGGGGCGTGGGCTGCGCCGTGGCACACGCAGTAGCGGGGAGTAGAAACCGACACGGCAGCCTCGCCCTGTCCCTGCCGCCCCGCACCCTGCCGCGTCCCTGCCACCCTACACCCGCGGCTGTACCGCAGTTGTACCATACCTCCAGCTGCAGGTGGACGTCGATGGTACCGTAGAAACCGCGAGGCCCGCAGGAGCCCACCCCATACTTATGGATGGTCTGGCGGCACGCCTCACGCAACTGCGGCCAGCCAGGGCGGTTCGCAAGGTGTGTGCATGTCTGTGTGTTGTGCAGCGCCCCGCCGGCGGCCAGTGCGGCATGGAGACGGCAAGAGCCCACAGCAAGAGGCAGTACACCCCCAGGCGCAGAAGCCAGCCTTGAGGGGCAGCGGAGGACCGGGCCCGCGGCAGTGGGGGCGCCAATCAACCAGCCAGGCAGCCCGCGGCCGGCACCCAGGCTTCATCAGAGACAGGAATGCCGCGAGCGGCTGCCAGCTGGAGTTGGGGGGGGGCTATTCTGCGCACCTCTGGGCTGCCTGCGATGCCCAGGAAATTGAGGGAGGACATGTTGAGGGCCTGGCGCCCGTTGACGGTCACCTGCATGGCAGCAGGCAGGCACACGCAGGCGAGGTGGAGCACGCGCACGCGTCGGGCAAGAACAACTGCCCTGGCAGGAAAGCACAGCACCCACCAGCCGCCGGCCGTCCAGCTCGGGGCTGGCTGCTGCCATCCCGCCCGCCGGCGGCGGCGGCAAACGAGTTCAAAACAGCAAGCGGGCCACGGGCAGCAACGCGCTGGCGGCGCCAGGCGGGCGGGGCGGCGCTCGCACCATCCTGCCCGCGTCGCTGCTGACGACGGGCTCCCGCCAGTTTTGCTGCGCCTCGGACAGCGGCGGCGCCAGCGGCTCTGGCTCCCACTCCGCACACAGTTCATCCACCTCCTGCAGGGTGGGGTGTGTGGGCGCAGTGTGGGGTGGAGGGGCCTTCACACGGCCACCTGTTCCCTTCTGGAGAAAAGCTTCTCCGCCAAAGGGCAAGGGAGCGGGAGGCGAGCTCCGTGCAGGGTGGAGGGCTGAAGAGCTCCGGGCGGGCGGAGCGGCAGCTTTCCGAGCAGGCAAGGAGGGCTCTGCCAAGGAGGGGCGCCCAGCGGAGAGACGGCTGCAGCGCGGCACAGCCACGCACTTGCTGCGTGCCTTAAAGCCGCAGCATCCGGACCGCCCCAGCGCACCTTCTCGGTCAGCGCCGTTTCCTCCTGGGCACCCGGTACCAGCGTGCCTTGCAGCAGGAGGTAGGATATGACCAGAAGCAGGAATCCCTCCACCACCAGGTGGCCCTTGTGCTCGATGAAGGCGGTGGGGTGCCAGCGCCCGCCGGGCGCCACCAGCGCCCACCCGTCCACCGCCGCGCCGTGCAGCGCTGCCAGGTGCGGAGACTCCTGCCGCGCCGGCTCCACAAAGCTCAGCGCCAGCACCACGACCACCGCCAGAAGCGCGTGGGTGATGATCCAGGCCAGGGCGCGGCGCAGGCCGCGCACCAGGCTGCGAGCCATGGCTTTGCCGCCACCACCACTGCCGCAGTCGCTGGCGACAGAGGGGTGAGGTGATGGAGCCGGCTGCAAGCTGCCGCGCCGCAGCCCGTCGGCGGGCGGTTCTGATTTCCAGGCTGCTGGACAAGCTGGCTGGGTGGTGTGCTGCCTGGTGGGTTGCTGATTTCGAGTTGGATAGCGGGGCCTGGGCGCTCTCCCTGCAATTCAATAGGCGCACAAGCTGCAGGCAAAGATCCTGCAATGAGGGGGCGGCAATTGGGCAGCCCAGCGCGCCTTGAGCTATTTGAGTCTCTTCTCCTGCCTTTCCAATCGCAACCACCGCCCGCAGCAGCAGAGGCAGCGCGTCCTGTCGGCAGCAGTGTGATCATACACGCCAGTGCAGTCGATTCGCGGTGCGTGCAGGCGGCCACCCCCTCCCTTCTGGACAGAGATCACCGCCCCTGCCGGCGCTTCCGCACCTGTCGGGCCCCTGGGCGCTTGCATGGCAGCGGGTGCCCGTCAGCTTGAGTGATCGTGGGCTGGGAGGGCTGCTGGCGGCCGCGCAATGGCGGCAGCAAACGGGGTAGCGGGCCCAGAGGCGGTGGCGCAGAAATTGTTAGACTTTTCGCAGCCCCTGGACGTGGCGCTGCTCGACAGCACCGTCAATGCCTTCTATGGCGCCGGCTCCAACCAGGAGGTGGGCTCCCCGCGCCCCCCGGGCAGCCCCCAGCGGCTCCGTGGCAGCCTGCAGTGCGTACAGATGGATGGCTCGCCCGGGGCGCCGCGCTGCGCCAGGAGGCGCGCAGCGCAGTCCCGCCGCTGTGTGGCGGGTGGCGGGCCAGAGGGCAGGAGCCAGGCCCGCCTGCTCACCTCTGCCCTGCCTGCCCCCCGCTGCCTGCAGCGCATGGCTGCGGAGGCGGTGCTCAAGGCGGTGCAAGAGCACCCAGAAGCCTGGACCCGCGTAGATGCAATTCTAGAGCACTCCAAGAACCAGCAGACCAAGTTTTTCGGCCTGCAGGTGCGTGCTTTGGTCCTGGCCTCTGGGCCCCTTTCTTGTGTGTGCCTCTGCTTCCACGTGCGCCCGCGCAGCTGCTGCCCCGGAAGCCTGCTGCTGCCGGCACGTGGCGCCAGCTGCCTCTGCCGCCGGCCGGCCGGAACGCACGTCGTCCGAGCGCTCGGCAGCAACCGCAGCGGTTGGCGTTTGGCCCGGCGGCGGCGGGGCCAGCCGGCGCCGCTGCTGCCGCCAAGGATCAGCCTTCCCGCGCAGCTGCCGCCGCAGCGTGCTGCCCAGGCAGTCCAGCCCCGCCGGCCACCCACCGCCGCTCCTGCGTGCCGCCCCCGCCCCGCCAGGTGCTGGAGAGCGTGGTGCGCACGCGGTGGGGCGCGCTGCCGGATGCGCAGCGGGAGGGCATCAAGACCTACTGCTCCAACCTGATCATCAAAATTTCCACAGACGAGAAGGCCTTCCGCGCGGAGCGAACTTTCCTCAGCAAGCTCAACCTGGTGGGCAGCCCGCTGGTACTGCCGCCGGTGTCGGGCTGGGCAGCGGCGCCGCCCTGGATCAGGCAGCTGCCGGGTGGCCCCCCCTGTCTCCCCACCCCACTCACACACCCACACATGCATCGCTACGCTAACCACCGTCACGCCACCCCGCTCCCATGCAACCCCACCACCACTACACACACACTACACACAAGCCACCCCACCCCCACCCACCCTTGCAGGTGCTGGTGGACATCCTGAAGCAGGACTGGCCCCACAAGTGGCCCTCCTTCATCCCCGACATCGTGGGCGCCTCCCGCACCAATGAGACGCTGTGCGAGAACTCCATGGCCATCCTGCGCCTGCTGAGCGAGGAGGTGTTCGACTTCTCCAAGGACTCCCTGACCGCGGTGCGCTGCCCCGCGCTGCGCTGCTGTGTTTGCTGATGTTGTTGCCGTTGCGCTGCGTTGCTTGTTGTTACTGTTGCCGCCCCCGCCCCGCGCCGCTCCCTCTTGTTGTGTGTGTGTTTGCTTGTTTGTTTGCGCTGGACTCGTGGGCCGGGGGGCAAACAGGAGGCGGGACAGAAGCCGGACACATGCACGGCGCAGCAGCGGGCGGGCAGCGGGCCCCGCGCTGCCGAGGACGGGCCGCCGCCCGCGCCCCGCTGCGAGCCTGCCGCGGCCGCCTCTGGGCCTGCCCCGCGCTCACCTCGCTTTCCTCTCCCCGCCCCTGCCCCCTTCCACCCACGCAGGCAAAGACCAAGGAGCTGAAGAGCAGCTTCAACGAGCAGTTTGCGGCGGTACACGAGCTGTGCCTGATGGTACTGAGCGCCAGCCAGCGGCCCGACCTCATCCGCGCCACGCTGGCCACGCTACACGCCTTCCTGTCCTGGGTGCCACTGGGCTACATCTTCGAGTCGAATGTCATAGAGGTGGGGGCCCCCACCTGCCTGTTCTTGTGTGTGTGTGTGTGTGTGTGTGTGTACATGTGCGCGCGTGCGCGTGTGCTTGTGTGTGCTGTTTGTTTGTTGATTTGTTGTGGAAGGTCCAGCCCGGCAGTGTGTGTGAAGTGTGGGGGTGATTCCGTGGCAGGGCTGGGCGGCAGGGGTGCGCCAGGAGGGCGCCGAGGTGGCGGCCGGCAGCGCGGCGGCGGCTGCTGGGCGAGGGCTGCGGCGCTGCTGCTGGGCTCCGCGCGGTCCCCAGTCTTGCCCTGCTGCCTGCCCTTCCCTTGCCTGCAGGTGCTGCTGCGCCTGTTTCCGCAGCCAGTGTTCAGGAACATCGCGCTGCAGTGCCTGGCAGAGGTGAGCCGCCGCTATCAGTCGCATTGGCTGCCATGCCCGCCGCTGCCGCAACCCTGCAACTGCCGCCCTGGCCTGCTTCCCGCTCACCCCTCCCCTCCCAACCCCTCTCCCCGCGCTGCCCGCGCCTCACTGCCCACCCACCCCCTGCCTGTCACCCGCGCAGATAGCGGCGCTCCAGGTGGGGCCCGAGTACAACTCCCACTTTGCCCCGCTCTACACTTTCTTCGTGGCGCAGCTGGCGGCGCTGATGCCGCCGGGCACCAACATCCCCGAGGCGTACAGCCGCGGTACGGACGAGGACCAGGCCTTCGTGCAAAACCTGGCCCTCTTCCTCACCGCCTTCTTCCGCGCGCACCTCAGGCGAGGGCTT